TAAAGAGATATTCTCTACAAAAGATCTGCGAGTATGACTTTCCTAGAAAAAAATGTCAGTAGGACACTGCGTGCTATGTTACACTGACACTGTCTTGGCATCGTGTCAAGCAACGCGTTCATATCAGACAGACAAACGTTAACAAAACAAAATGCTGATTAAAACACAAAAATCTAGCATCGGGTCCCGTTGGCAGTACCGAGCTGGAATTTTTTTTTGCAGGAGAGGACCGTTTCGAAACTGGTGCTCAACTCGCGATACAAATATCGAAAAAAGCAGTAGGGCTTTTTTTATAGGTTTTCACGTATGCTCTTTCGAGTGATGTGCTTGATAAAGTTCAAAGAGACTTTTATCTGGGTACTCCAGAGACCGGATCTCTAGAAAACTCACGCATAAGTACTCTGGAACTCTCTAAAGCCCACCAGTGGAAAGAGCATATCTGGAAACCTATAAAAAAGTGTTTATAGACTTTCGGACTGTTTCTATAGCAAATATCAAAATCGTTAGCCAAAATTGTCACTTCATGCTGCCACTTTAGCGTTTCGTTAGATCCAACAAGTTTTTGCTCAGAAAACCTACTAATCGTATATCATTCGATGTAGTTTTTCGCGCTGATTCCAAATATCTAGTTGGTTTTGTCTCAACATGTTTTGGAGAGAAAATAAATAAGGAAAACCTCTAAAAAACCGAGGTTTTGGAAAACCTACTATTTGGTCCAGAAGCGTCGACGCTGACTGTGTGGACATATTATATATAGGACAACATTCCCTGAAAATTTCATCAAAGTTGGAGCTTCGCTAAAGGTCGCGCACGCGTTGTATCAAACACATCATCGGAAAACACGCTAGAAAAATGTTTTATTTTTTTCTCCAACTTAGAAAGTTCAGAAATAGAAAATTCTTTTACCAATCGACAGCGCACTTCACGCCGATTCTGAGTATATGTTTGTTTGTCCAATAGTTACGTGTGATTTTGCGTATAATCCGATTTTCCGATGGACACGTTTTTTTAGCGTATTTTTGTGTATAGGATTTTCCCAGCTTAAAGAAGTTCTAGGACAAACATTTTTTTACCATTAAATAGAGCATGTTTCAAAGTATATTAACCACCATTAAAATCACTGAAAAATCAACTTTCATTTTTTCACCAAAAGCCGGCTTGGATGCACATTTTGACATGACAGAAGAACAGAACGATGAATGAAAAGTGCTAGACACTTTCCTGAGGTAGTTGCACAAGTTTGTCAATTTAGTATACATGTTGCTTTTATATTATTGGGTATAATTCTTTTTAAACGAAAAAAATTCGTCGGTCTTTTACATAATTTTCTTTCTCGTGTTTGGAACAGATTTTTCTTTCAGCAGTAAAATGTCGTGGTTTATTTTAAATTTTTACGATCGAGTTTAATGATTTCTCTCTTAATGATTTATCTGAGTTCCACACATCTTAGATTTTTGCGAACAATGTCTATCTAGAACATTATTATAAATTTATATTTATTTATTTATTTATTACTCACTAAGTTTACGTCACAAACTTCGCCCCTCTGCTGCTTCACAGATGTATGAATTCTTTATAATAATTTTGTATATTAGAACAATTAGTTAAGTAATTAATCCTGTCTTTTTGTCTTTTTAAATAAATTAAGAACGATTTTTCTATTTAATTTTGTTATTTGAAAAATACAAAAACTAATTTTCCCTTAATTTCTTTCGCTTTCCATATTTTTTCTTCGTGTTTTGACATTAACAAGCGTTTTAATCAGATTATACGTTCTTATTTACGTCAATATCAATCAGGACTAGGTGAGTTCGGAGTTCTAGCCTAGAGATTTCCTTTTTGGATCTTGGACGTCGACACGAAGTCGGGTATATGAGTCATATCGATTCGTATTTCGACGTAAATAAATAAAAATTCTCGATTTTTTTTCCCTTCTCCTTTTTTCCCTCTCGTTTTTGCTATTCTGAGAACATATGTGAGACAGCTTACGTCTGTGTTGCAATTCAACAAGAGCCTACATCTTCACAACTGCATTATTTATTATTATTATTATTCCTAAAATTGGTAATTATTATAGCAACATGTTTTAAATGTATTACACCCTAGAAATTGAAATAACAACAAGTGCTGTTACGGAAAGACACGCAAAGTAATTTTGTACTCGAAAAATCGAATCTATTCAGTCCTATCTTAATTAGCTAGACAACTTTCGTGCATTGCGACAACATCGGCACCTGTTTAACGTATTTTTTTTCTTAATTTTTCTTTTTTTTATAAGACACGAAAAAGCCAGTTTTACGGAAAAAAATTTCTCTCAGCTGACATTGTTAAAATGTAATTTAGAAGCTTGCTTTAGTAACATTTTCTGTTATAATAAGACAAGATAATACAGACTGAAAACAAGAAAAATAAATCAGCGCAATAAAAAAATTTGAAGAATAATCGGACTCGAAAGACATACTGCACTCGGACTCACGACTGCCTTACACAGACTCGGCCTCAAACTCGCCAAGTCCTGACATCTATCGTCTCTATTAACAACACAGTACAATCTTTAATATTATATTCAATTATGATTAGCTAATCGAAATTAAAATCAATAGACACTGGACAACTCAGGAGACTGTAGTGCATTAAACAAAAGACGATCATATTTGTCCATTAAGAAGTTTAAGGACATATTTCATCTTGAAATCTTTAATTCGTTATAACGAATTAAAGATTTCAGGTCGAATGGTAATAATTATTACTACTCGACCATTGAAACTTATCCAGTTTCATTTTATTATTAAATTATTTTATTGAAAAAAGTGTCTTGGTTATTCAGTTTGATGATTTACGGACATAAATGACTTTATTTCGGATGTAAATATGTCTAATTAGACACACACATTAGAGTTTTATTCAAAAATTAATTCTTGTTTGTTTCCTGTGACTGCTGTTTTAATAATTCAGTCGATTAATTTTTATATTTAATTTGGTTTAAACTAGGTTTATTAAAACAGTAAATTGAGCTATGCTCATTACATGTTGTAACAGTTTGATCAAAAAAGATTTACACTTAAATTGCTAAAAAAGAGAAGAGAAAAACAGCTAATTAACTCTGCAACGGAAAAATCAACACAGAATCAACGGTAACTAGCAGTTAGTTAACTTTGTGGTAACTATTTTTTAAGTATGGCAAAAATATCCAGACAGCGGCTTAAAATGGCTTCCAAAATCGTTCGTTTTCTACTAAAACTGTTGAAACTTTCATAAATGACTTGGTTTTGTAGTCTAATTTCGTTGATGAAAACAAAAACATTTCTCAAGATGGCTGTAGATGCTGAGATCTCCGGAAACCTTAACAACCGCAGTTACAAAATATTGAAGTTATATAATTTCGATTAGTTTAGTCGACTGACACGTGTGTGCCAATCAAAATCATGTCATTTATGAAAGTTTCAACAGTTTTAGTGGAAAACTAACGATTTTAGAAGCTATTTTAAGCCGCTGCCTGGATATTTCTGTCATACTTAAAAATAGTTACCACAAAGTTAAGTAACTGATAGTTACTGTTATTTCAACGATAACTGAAAAGACGGTTACCGTTGTTTTAACGGTAACTGTGTTTTCAGTTAGCGCTAAATCAACGCAATGGGAACTTTTACAGTCCTAAACCAGAAGATTATCTTTCACCATTGGCAAAAAATAGCCAAGGTAGATTTAACATGAATTGATGAAAATCTGAGTGTACATGGGAACAGATACCCTAGTCGAGACTCCTGATTAATCTCCCGCAGGAGTCCTGGAAAAAAAGTCCTACAGGAGTCAGCAGGAGTCCTGTCACGGGAGTCCGGCAGGATCCTCTGTGGAGTCATGGAGGATTTTTAAGGGATTCAAGAGGGATTCCTCAAGACTCCCACAGGAGTTCTATGGGATCAAAAAACAGACAATACATTTGTTTATCGTCGGATTTTACTTTTGTGTCTTGAATTTTGTAGCACTGAGACGTCAATGAAAAGCAGATTGTTTCAGTCATACAATATAGGATCGTATACAAATGAATAAGTCAAACAAATGATTGAAAAACAGCAAAACTTTAAACCGGCTAGTTATGGACGAAAAATACTAAAAAAAATTACATCAGATGCGCATTTTAAGATGTCCTGTGTGCAAAACGCTACCGCCAACGCCAAATCACGTTATGCTTAACGCTGTGCGGATAGCGTATCAATCCGGAAATGTATGGGTATATCTCGCCTGACTAGAATCACAGAAGTTGTTTTCTGCAATAATTCATAGCCATTTTGAAGTACAAACAGTTACTAAGGAAACCCCTCTTCTTGTCCTATACCACACTAATACGTAGCCTGTATTATGCATAAACACGTGATAGTTAAACTCGTGTTTTTATTCGTTAATGTATGAAAAATGTCTATGGTTTAGTTTAACTGTGTGGATGATGAAAACTCCACTCTCTTTAATTAGAGTACAGATTCCAAGTAATTGCAAAATACGTTAAGCTGGTCACACCTAGTGAAGCATCAGTTTTTTACTAGTTAACTGTACTTGTAAAACTGCTGATAAATGTAACTATGAAAACTGTAACTGCTCATAACTGTTAGGCAAATATTCTAGAGCGAGTTAGTCGAGTACGATTTGTATACATTTTAAGAACGTCCTTACTCTCAAAATGCACGCATATCGTACAAGACTAACACACTCTAGAATATTTGCCTAACAGTTATGAGCAGCTACGGTCTTTTTACAGTTAATTGTAACTGGTGTATGCCTAGTTAAACCAGTTTTATCCATCTAGAGTGACGTTATCATCTCGTCAAACTGCAATTGAATCCATGATAAATATCAGTATACGCAATAAAATAAGATCTTCGAGTAAGATGTAGTTTTAATCAACGTTGTACTGAACCATTTTACACTTGGTTAGAACTCAAATACGCTGAGAATTTCAGTTGACTTTTAGTATGCTTTAGATATTGAAAAAGATAGATTATACAATGTCTACTCACGAAGGTGTTTCGTGTGATGCTTGCTCCCAAAATAATTTTCGTTCGAAACGTTATAAATGTTTAAGATGTTATGATTATGATTTATGTTCCAACTGTTATGAGCATGGAGAAATATCATCAAATCATACCGTTGATCATCCAATGCAATGTAAATAAATCTGTTGTATTATCTACTTTTTTCTCGACTAAATTCTTCCGGTTTTTAATCTATATATCTATTTTTTCTATTTAGGTATATTAACTCGTCAAGATTTTGATTTATATTACCATGGCGAACGTTGTACTGTTGACCAACCGCAATCGTTATCATGTCCATTTTGTTCCGAAATGGGATTTTCTTATAATGCAAATATGTCTTCTTCTGCGACTGATACATCTTCGTCTTCAAATGATCTATTAGTTCATTTACAATCGAAACATGGCGGCGATCAACAAATTGAAGTAATTTGCCCAATTTGCTGCGCTTCGCTTAATGGTGAACCGAATTTAGTCACACCTGATCTTATTTCACACATAGCCAATGATCATCCTTATCGAGGAGCAGCAGATTCTTACTCGAGACAATCTTCAACAAGAGAATTTGATTCTACATTTCCTCCATTGAGAAATTCTACAGCTAGTACCACTAGCGCAGGTTAGTTAAAATGATAAAGACAATATTAGAAGGTAGATGGAGTGTCATCTTCAAATATTTTTTTGTTAGGTTTTCGTCGTGGACCGTTACGAACCCCAAGTCGACGCGGTGGAGGACGTGGCGGTCCTGTTTCTAGTAATTTTACAACTGAAGTTGGTGGTAGTGATCCTATTACAGATTTGCTAACTCAATTATCCAATGTTCGACGTTTAGCTGCACAAAATAATTCAAATAACAGTGGTAATCTATTGCCATCAGCAAACGCTCTAAATCTAAGTCAATTATCAAGACAACAATACGATCGAGAACGATTACGTTCTACATTACGTTCTCATCCTCAAGCTCATTCTCATTCACACGGCATTGGAGCAACATCAACGACCAACAATAACAACAATGCACAGACAACTCAGGAATCGGATTTTTTCGACAGTCTATTTCCTAGTACGCTGTTCATTGATTCAGCTATATTACCAACAGCAACCGGACAAACAGCCGGATTTCAATTGAGAGGCGCGACAAGAGCAGAAAATCAACATTTGGGTAAGTAGATAAACGATTTTATTTCAATGGATTATTTAGCATATTTGCCAATCCGTTTGCAAGAGTAATGTGCCGAACGGGACATATTTCCCGTTCAGAAAAGATGAATTTCTCCATTGGGAAATATGTTGTGATCGGGAAAGGAGAATCTCTTGCGTTCGGGACATATTTCGATATGTCTACTTTGAAACTCTTCAGTGTATTTTATAACGTTATCGCGCACGTCCTGGTTGGTTCTCCTTTGACACAGCACAAAACACTGCATTGATCGACACGAAGCTAGATGAATTTGACAGCCCTAGAGATCAAATCTTATAGAATATCTGCAAGATTCTTATAAGAATTTTATAGGAGTCTTATATAAGGCAGTCGATAGAAATGCGTAAGATATTGATATGAATCTTATATAAGAAAATGATAAGATTTCTATAAGAATCTTATAGGAAGGATACAGCACAATTTCATAACATTCTTTAGTGATCAGTACTCTATATTCTATGTTTCATAGGTGAATAAAATAATTTTCTTTCCATTTATTTAATTTTTCTGTAATAAGACCTTAGTCCCACGCGGACAGTCTCATGTCATGCTCTTACTGTCTACTGCTTGTAGATCGAATTTATGAATTTACTTCCACAAATCTATCGATAATAGGAAGAAAATGAAGTTTGAAAAATAAAAACATGTAAGATGAGACAATGAGAATGCAGGGCATGTTGCTCGTTGGAATAAATCTCGCTTTTTTATCAGAATCTTAACTTAGTAGATTTTACCAAAAGATCTTACCAAAATCTTATGAATTCTTATAAAATAATTATATAATCTATCTTATCAAATTCTTATCAGAATCTTATAAGATTCTTATAAGAATCTTAGCAATGTTTTACGCATTTCTATCGACTGCTTTATATAAGATTCTTGTAAGATTCTATAGAATTGCCGTAAGATTGGTCGACTAGGGATGTTTCTACCGTGTCTGATATTATAGAAATGTTGAGTAGAAAGAATCAGAATCAAAATCTTTCCCAATCGGGAAGATATTTTATCATATGTTAAAGTAAAGGAAAAGAAAAATAGAAGGAAGACGTAGATATGTAAATGCGTGTCATCGAGTTCTAGAAGTGTAAGAAATATCTACCTATCAGTCTTCAATTAATTAATTTATTGAATATAAGTAGATTCAATGTGTATACTTTTCCGAATAAAAAATAAAATAAATTTTGTCAAGTTTGAAGATTTTCTTTCTAAATCATTGACAATGTATGACTTCAAAATCAGATAAACCTTCATGCGGTAATGTTCAGCATATTATTTGGCATAACACTACTACCCGTGATTTGATTAAGTCGAACAAAAATACATATCAACAGTCCGTTTGTACTTTCCCGATCGAGAAATAATTGATTCTTTCTCGACTATGAAATATCCTGTCCTATTTTCCGACGGAGAAATTTGATAAAAGCGATATTCCCCAATAAGACGTTGTTGTTAAAATGTAACCAAAACTTTTCTTAATAAGGTCTGATTGTAGTCCGCACATTTCTCATTAAAATGAGATATCTCCCACCTCTACACGACCTTTCTGTACATAGTTATAGAATTTACAAGAAAAGCCCTAAATGTTCATTGTTAGCTCAAAAGCTACAGAAATAAGACGAAATTAATTTAGGGCTTTTCCTGTAAATTCTATAACTATGTACAGAAAGATCGTATAGAGCTTGGAGATGTCTCATTTTAATCAGAAATTTGCGGACAACAATCATGCCTCATCAAGAAGATTTTGGTTGGTGTTTAGAGTTCTTGAAAAACTGGTTTCCCAGAAAACCGGGTCTTCAAGAGCCATGGGATAAATCCTTTTAGGCTTTTTACTATCTCGATATAGGCTATCGATTGATGTATGTTTGAAAGAAATCGAGGTTGGACAGCTGGGAATGTTAGAGTTCGTGAGATAGCGTCTTTCCCGATCAGGAAAGTGCAAACATACTGTCTTTTACTGTTTTAGATTGGGCAAGTATTGTTAATAACAGTGGTTCACCGCAATCAACGCCTCAAACAAACCCTGTTCCTTCACAGCCTCCTCAAATATTAACTAATACTACAGCAACAACAGATGATTCTCTAAAATTATTACCTAGTCAGTCGTTACTAAAAAAGCTATACGATGATTCTACTTCTGCTAGACATTCGTCGAATCAGCGTCAAACAAAATTAAAAGCTCAAAAATGTGATTTCATACAAGAATTATTAATATCAACTTTATATAATAGTCCAATAGCAGACGATTTAATCACGAAAAATCCGTTTGCTACACAACAGTCGACTGCTACGACAAAAAAGCATAATATTCAACATCAGACATTGTTAGTTTCTCCTACTACGACAATATCGTCAACCGAGTCTTCAAAAACCAAATATGAGTGAGCATCTGAATTAGGCCGATAGATAGTTCAACGTTATGCGATTCTATAATAGGAAGAAAAAATCTCTGCTTCCTATACATATCACACTGTAATTGTCATTGTACAATTCTACAATTCAACAGGATCAAATAACGATAACATAATACTGTTACACACAGAAAGATTTAAAACATAGTATGTCGAATTTTTCTACAGAACATATGAATAATTTTGATAGAAAGATATTGAGAAAACTAAAATCAGAGATTCATGCTATGAACAAAAGAATCTTGTCTTATAATGTTAATAATTTTAAAAGATAGTAAAAAGAAATTATGATAAAGCATAAAGAAATACTGATAAATAGTTTCCCTTCTATACTACAAAATGCAATGATATAAAAGTTTACACAGAGAATCGTCTCTTGATCGAGATAGCTGGGTTTTCAAGTCGGATGAGCAAAGGAAGGTGTATGAATATTAAAAAATACTTTATTACTATTTACGAAGAAAAAATCTGAAATTCTTCACAAAAATAGAATTTCTTCTACTCTCAATATATCTGAAAGATTTTATGTTTGGTATGTGTTAGATGCATGGAGAAGGATTGATTTTTCAACAATTTTATTTACAGTTTGAAGATAGGCAACAATTTTTAATGAACAATTTTTTCTAAATTAATATTCTAAACGTTTACTATCATGTTTCTAATGACTGCTAATTAAAATACTCAAAATGTTTTTATTTAATGAACGTGCTCAAACTGACAATTTATTTTTTATGTGTATACTTTATTTATTTTTGTATATAATATTTTTCATTGTTATATTTGGGTATTTCAAATCATTCTGCTGAATTTATAACGAGAAACATTTTTCGTTCAATACTTTTTTCCTTCAAGGAGAACGCTGCATTTCTTAATTTACATGATCCATTAGTTTTTCACTATTTATTTGCTTTTTTAACAAACATTTTTTATCTATTATTTTTATAATGTATTTCAAATTAATTATCGGTCTTTTCGAATTAACATTTCAAGATCGAAAAATTGGTCTGTTTTAATTAAGTTTCCGATTTAGAAAAATTACTCAAACTGAAATAATGTAACATGGAGACAATGAACTGCACTACATTTGAGTGCAATATGGACTAAAATATCTTCTTTGTACGATTAGTGGGGAGCATCTCAATAACAGAGAATTTTTCGACTTACTGTTTTTTTCTTTCTGTCTCTATATTTAATTATTAATCGTAGTACTTCAGGTCAGTTTCTTCACCCCCTACTGGGATATGTTACTTCAAATTGCATCGTTGCTCGTCTTTTTCAGATTTCTCAGAATTAGCGAATTTGCCGTCAATTTTATCTTCGATTCCTATGGCCATCTTTGCGTGGAAGATATTAAGAAAGGCTTTATGAGTTATTCAAGCAACAGACGAAAATTAAAAAATTCCGGAAATATTTGTTCGGATTCTCTATGCAAAACTGGGTTATGACGTTGGGGGAACGATTTTTAAAAACTTCTGTGAGGAGTTCTAGAATTTACAAAAGATAGAGGTCATCTATTTTCTGAAAATCGTATTTTGCCCATTTCTCCCCCAATTTCCATCCGAATAACATCTTATTTGAAAGAGTATTTAAAATTCATTTTTTCCCTGTTGATCATTATCATTGTCCACTTTCGATTGTGAAACATTTTCTTTCTGTTTGATCTCGACGCCAAAACGACATAAATTCACCCTTTTTCTTACTCCAGGAGGGAAACCACTTTCGAAACAAATTTTTATTCAAAAAATTCGAATTATTTTAGATGGGGCTTCAGTGGCAGTTTTACTCGTCTCATTCTTTTTGTCGGCGGCTGCATCTACAGCAGCTCGTGGTCTGCGTCCGTATTTCATCCAAATACTAGGGCGATGGCGGTAATATTCTATAAATTGTACATCGAACTAACGTTCGCCACCACCAAAGATGCGCATCTCGCCCTAACTAAATCAAAATAATTTTTGGGGCATTATGCTACACGTTTCTTTGGGACTTTCCTTCCCTAACGATATTTTGTAATAGTTTCTTTTTGTATGGGCGTACATACGCCCTTCACCTCAGTTTATGATAAAGATCCGATATATTTGTCTCTAGAAGCTGAGTTGTGAACACACGTATGTGTCGCCAACATAAACACAAAACCAATTTACCTTTATGCATTTCTGATGGCGTTTTTTTTTACTTTTCTTGCGAATATCTGACAAAATGACTAATTAAGTCCCATCTGGTTTGTGTGCATGAAAGTTTAACTAGACTCAATAGACCATATCGAATTTTTCTTCAGTACATACTTCTGCATGTAGCGTCAATAAACATGCACGAGAGAAAGGAAATTGTCTATGTCTTTGTTTAAACGCTTGAAAAGAAAGTCAAAACTAAACTCTAATGGGCAGAATGCTTACAGCAAAACTAAGAACAACAGAAATACAATTGTTTAATGTAACTTTTCAGTGGAAACGAAAAAATAGTCGACTATCTGCTTTACATCATACAGTTGTTTTAAAAGTTTTCTGATGGCACAATGTTAATAATGTTCAATGTTGTTTTATCCTTAATAGGTTTAAAACCCAGATCTACGCTGGTAAGTTTTTTTTCTATATCACTGTTATTTTAATTTATTTTAATATTGTTATGCTGAGTGGCGATCTGTCTAAGTTACAGTCTACTAACAAACGTCATACGTAAGGGTAAAGTGTAAATTAAAAGACGAGCAAGAATAAATAAGCAACTCTAACACAAGAAATTCGCCTATATTTTGACCAGGGATGTAGAATCTACTCATAAGATTAGGGAACTTCCACCGACGGTAAAAAGTTAGAATAACATTTCCCCGTCATGAAATAAAGAAACAAAAGCAAAATAATGTGATTGTATTTTTGGTAAAACTCTTGCATATTCAGTCTTTAAGTTGAAAATTAGTGTTTCTGTTTAGTCATACATATCTGGTGTTGTTGTATTGTGTTGGTATTTTCGCCGATTGTTCTTGACGTAAACGATTTAAAACAATTGAACTAGGAGAAACTAATTTTCATACTGAATACTGATCGCTCGTTTTGCAAAACAACCGATGTTTATCTCTCAATTAACTAAACTAATTACTCATTGATTGTTTGATAACAGGTGACCTAGAATAAATGGCGGTCTCAGTATTTTGCTTTTAGCTTGGTTTAAATTTGTTTCCTAGATGTTTTTTTTAAAAATGCGCTGTGAAATACTCTACAAAATCATACGCAAATTATAATTTCAAAACTTCAATCAAGAAAACTAAGCCAATTAGATGAAAGTTGAAAAAAATGAAAACTTTCCAAAGTCAAAAATGATTTCTTGTATTAATGTTTTGAAAGTAAGAAAAACTGAATTAGCCGTTTTGTAGCCCCAACTTCGCTCTGTCTTTTAGCTACACTTCAAATTCTTTCACATCAAAAGCCACGACGAAATAATAGTTTTTCTGTCAGTCGCTTGTCATGCATTTTTTTATTAAATTTTTAAATTTTGGATATAGTAGTGCTTTCAGTAAAAGTCCCATAACTCCATCAAAATAAAAGCTTTTTCGGGTGGGTTTGTTTTATTTTGATTAGAAATGATTGCTCTTCTCTCTTTAACTGCAAAACCAAAACATCAATCATGTTTTCCGTGTCTTACTCGAGCACATTGTTGGAAATGAGGAGATTGTCAACTTTTGACGTATTTTTGTAACTTTGTTCTTCAGCACACTATCTGCTGTAAAAAAAGTTTTTTACAGACCACGAGAAAAGGCACATTTGAAAATACCAAACCTAAACTAAGTTCTCAGTTTTTCGTGATCTAGAGAACTACGAAAGCTAGAAAACTTCTGGACAAGGTAGGATAATCTCCCGATATTGGAGATTGATAAATGCACATTCTGTTTTCAAAACAGCGCCGTAAGCTACACTAGTAGAAGTAAAACGTTTTCTGGACTTAGAAACTTTTCGTACATTTATAAGAGTTGATTGTCCGGCACCATTTGTTCTTAAGACGAAATATAATTTAATTCTTTGTTCTTATAATTATAACTAAAAATAGAAAGACACTTAAATGCTGAGAAGAGATGTTAAGCATAGACTATCTATCATGGTCGTTGAATGTTTGACTATTTTCAGAGTTTAAAGGAATACTGAAATATAGAGACTGTAATCATTTTTTTCGTCATAATAACTGATTTTTTAGATTAAAAATGATTTCAAAGTATAAATTCATACTAGTGTGTAGCTACATGTTAATGAAAGAATGAAACTTTCTCTCTCGTTCTTCTTCGAATTTCGTTTTCAATTCATTTTTCTTAAATCTATCTTTTAAAGCAACCAAAATCACAATGAACATCATGTGGTGAACTCCCTATTGACTGCGGACAGCTTCTGGCAGATTCAGCTCGGATACAGTCTGTCGACATCGCAACTTATGCGCAGCGCAATTGCTCTCTAATTTTCTTAAATTGATATTAAAAGAACGTACTTCAGATTGACTATAATTATCAAAACAGGAAAAAGTTAATCGATACGTTTTATGTTGAACTACTCTATTATTTACCATAGGAAAAAAATGAACGACTCCTGGAAACGTTTTAAATAAATTCAGGGGATATGAACGCCAATTTCAGGGAGGTAAACACCATATCCCACAGTGGGGAACCGTGTGGACATTAGGTGAAAAACGAAAGTGGACTTTTGGTAAATTCAAATAGTAGAACATATACTTGGGTAAACGCTCTATCTTTTTGCCCTTGGAAGTTTTTTTCTAGGTGTCATAATTAGCGAGAAATGAATGAATCACATTTTTGTCGGAAAACAGAGCGATAAAGCCAAAAAAGTTATTTTTGTCGAAACAAAGTACGACGTTTGCAAATTTTATACAGAATGCAAAACTTTAAAGACCTTCCACTCTATCTACTCATGAAAAAAAAATTGCTTTTTCGCGACTCTAAATGAACCTTATTTTTTTCGTCACGTTGATATGCTTTCTGCT